ATGAACAGAGGCATGCTCCGTTCATTTGGAAATGCAGAAATATAGAAGAGTGGAAATATGGCATCACTGACAACGCAATAATGCAAGAATGAAGGAGCAGGTGCCATATCTTTTGCAAAATGAGGAAGTATTAAAAAAAAACGAAAGCACTAAAAAGCACCTCCACTAGATGGCGACTCTAGCAAAAGTTGATTTTTGCAGGAAACGAATGGACCAAAGACAGTAATTTCCGTTCCTTTTAACTAACATATTAAAAAACTGAAATTTTAAAAGTTCGAAGCTTAGATATAAATACGAATACGAAAAAGTACAAATAGAATATGAGTTGTTTATCGAGTTTCGAAAACTAATTTACTTTTATACATGACATAAAACCGGATGGGTTTTCATGAAGAAATCAAGAACGTATCGTAGCGACATCTAGTTTGATTTCGGGAACTTATGTATTTTTTTAAATACTTCCGCATTGATCGAGTGTTATCAGTTGATGATTATGAATGTGAAGGAAATAAAGATTCCGCCCTGTGATGTTCAATTCTCTCTGGTCTGATATACTATTTCGTTGATAGAAGCTGGATTGTATAAATATAGACTATAATACTATTATTTTGACAGTTTTTGCTGCGATTAGAAAACAGGAGATATTTAAACATTTATAAAAATCAGAGTTATTACGTATTGTCACGTTCTATACGTGTAAAAACAGATTCAGCAGTACCGACACGAGGGACGACCATTAAAATTTAAAATTTTCAATGTAATTTTAAACTCAAATCGCCCCAATAAATATGTAGCGGCCACACCGTTACTACCGATAAGCATAATGATCGCAAAACCGACGACTGTTATTTTGTATAGCAATATAATTTAAAAATGACCTCCTCGATTCTAGTTTTTATTGTCCGGAAATAGGAGATGTACACTCAATAAAGATATTTTCGATATCTAGTCTTCATAAGATATTTTTTCGGTTCTGAATATTCTTTGATGGTACGCTACGACTATCTAAAACTTTAATTTTCCTTATTCGAATAAGCTTATTGAAAGCACGTTTGATTATTGGTGTTGTGTTCGACTCTGTACTTTTACAGAATACTAAAGCAAGATGTCTTTTGGCCGATAAGAAGACAATAGAAACAAAAAGAAGATAATTCATTGGTAAATCGATTAGCGATATAAAGTAATGTGCCGACTGGGTACAGAGCTTCTATTTAACTTTTATTATACATAATTATCAATAATTGTTATTTCAATCTTTTTAAACCAGAGATTAAAGTGTGTAGATCTCCTGATAAATAAATATATACCCACTTTCTTAACAATTATTATGCAAAAGAGTTATTAAAATTAAAAATAAATATAAATGTTATTTTATTATTTATCTTAGAATAATATGTGAAATGAAATGAAATGAAAATATCTTTATTCAAGTAGGCTGTTACAAGCACTTTTGAATCGTCCAAAAAAGACTTTTTTCCCCTACCACTTGTTCAGGACGTCTTTTAGCTGACAAGAAGAACAAGCGAAAGAAACTTATCAGCTTTTTATCATAAGTAATGACATTTACATAAATCATGTCATTACCAAAATAATATCAATTTATCACAATAGTAAATACAACTTTCAAAGTCTGTAGGACATAAGTTGAACATATAATTAGTCTTTATAGAACAAAGCGAAGGCTGTTAATTCCATGCATTGCGATCCTTAAAGTAATCATCAACTTTATAATAGCCTTTACTCATAAGTATATTCTTTACATGAATTTGAAATTTATTTATGGGTAGGTCAATTACATTTTGTGGAACTTTATTGAACATAGCAATACATTTACCCAGAAATGATCCTCTGGTTTTTTGAAGTCTGAAGCTTGGAACGGCAAGTTTATCTTTATTTCTTGTGTTAAGATTATGAACACTACTTTTTTTTGTGAAGGAATCGTAATGTTTTCTTGTGTACATAATATTCTCATAGATGTATTGAGAGGCAACAGTCAGAATATTTATTTCTTTAAATAGTTCTCTGAGAGATTCCCTAGACCGTAAATTATATATAGCACGGACAGCTCTCTTTTGTAAAATAAAAACATCCTGAATGCTAGCCGCAGAACCCCATAACAATATACCATACGTCATTACACTATGAAAATAACTAAAATATACCAATCTTGCCGTTTCAACATTTGTCAAGAGTCTAATTTTCTTAACAGCAAAAGCTGCAGAACTCAGTCTACTTGACAAGCTATCAATATGAGGATCCCATTGCAGTCGGGAATCTAGTGTAATACCAAGGAACTTTGTCGATTCTACTAACTCAACTTTTTCACTATTTACATTTATAAGTGTACTGACATGCCTCACATTAGGTAATGCAAACTTTATGCATTTCGTTTTATTTGAATTGAGCTTTAAATTATTATTATCAAACCACTGTAGAACATTGTCGAGAGCATTATTTACATCGTCAAAACAATCATTACCCCTCTCAACTTTAAACAGTAAAGAGGTGTCATCTGCAAATAATACTGTCTCGCACAAATTCTTCGTAAAGTGAGGAAGATCATTTATATAAATTAGAAAAAGCAATGGTCCTAATATCGATCCCTGAGGTACGCCCATAGTAACTGGTGCCCCTGCAGATTTCGCTTCATTGATTACTACCTTTTGAATTCTAGCAGAAAGATATGATCTTATTAGATGAAGTGAATTTTTCGTCACACCATAATGTTCTAATTTCCCCAACAGTGTTTCATGACAAACGCAGTCGAATGCTTTTGATAGATCACAAAAAATGCCAATAGCATCTTGTTTATTCTCCCAAGCATCATAGATATGCCTCAGAAGTGCAATTCCAGCGTCTGTTGTACATTTACCTCTGCTAAAGCCAAACTGATTTTGGTGAAGTAATTTATTTAATGAAAAGTGTGCAAGCAGTTGATTGTAAATCATTTTCTCAAATACTTTACTTAACGCTGGTAGAATAGAAATTGGTCTGAAATTACTGGGATCAGACTTGTCGCCTGCCTTGAAAAGTGGGATTATTTTACCATATTTCATTAAATCAGGAAAAGTTCCTTCATCAATGCACTTATTAAAAATAAAAGTTAATTGAGGTGCTATAGCTGGGATTACAGATTTGATAACATAAGTTGAAACGCCCTAAAGATCTTCGTTTTTTTTTGACATTAATACAATTAAATGTTTTAATAATTGAGCAGACGTTAACGTGTCTAAAATAAAATTCAGTATTGCACTTATCAACAACTGACTCTAGATGCGTAACCGCAAGTTTTGAACATGAACTAAGATTTCTTGTGATTTCTATTGGTGTCTTAGAAAAGAATTTCTCAAATGTCTCAGCAACCGCTTCATCTGTTTTAATAATTTTATTGTCAACCTCTAATGAGTATGTGCGTATATTACTTTTATTTTTACCCGTTTCTTGATTTATGATAGTCCAGGTTGATTTTATTTTATTTTCTGAATTGTAAATTTTTTCAGATATATATTTTGCTTTTGCTGAAACACATACTTTCCTAAAAATTTTCGAATAATTTCTGACATATTCAATAAACTTTGGATCGGTCGAGGTACACTTTAGCTCATACAAATCATACAGCCTATTTCGACTTTTGTAGATGCCAGGTGTAGCCCAATCACTAAATTTCTTTTTTTGGTTAGTAAAGTTAATTGTTTTGAGTTTAAATGTTTTATCAAATTCTCCCTTTATCAAGTTAAAGAAATTATTATAAACATCATTTATATTTTCCAAATTACCAGTTGTCAACTGAGTCTGATTTGCAGAAACACTGTTTTTAAATTTTTCTAAATTACTTTTGGTAATAGGTCTACAAATTATATTGCATTTAGGAGAAACATGATGGTGCTCGAAAGTTGCTAGAATTCCGCTATGGTCAGATTGAATACAATTTATTATCGATTTTTTGAACACCTCACATTTACAAAAAATATTATCTAAGCAAGTAGCGGATGTGGGTGTAATGCGGGTAGGTTCATTAAAAATATTTTCTAAATTAAAACATTTAAACAAGTTCAAAAATCTACTTGATTTAGCACATTTTATTAAAATATCTATATTAAAATCACCACATATCACTACTTTCTTATTGACTTTGCAAATTAATTTAAATGCATCCTCCATAGCAGATTCAAATTGACAGTAGTCCCCATCAGGTGGTCTATATACACATATAATAATATACTGTTCAAGTTCCACACATGACAATTCAATATGTCGCTCAATTGAGAGGGATACTATATCTTTACGTTCTTTACATTTTAAATAATTACTTATTATTATTAAAGAACCCCCTCGTATGGCATTTATCCTACAGAATGAACTTATAATTTTATAATTTTTAAAACCCGTAATTAATTCATAATTTTTGAGCCAGTGCTCTGTAATACATATTATATCAATATTCATACTATTTAAACACATTTCTAATTCTAGATCTTTTCCAGAAAAGCCTTGTATATTTTGGTGAACGATAGTTAAATAGGTAGACTTTTCCTTGGTCATCTCATTGCTAGAGATTTTCTCTATTGTCTTATTAAACAATTTAAATTATTTAAATTGTCAAAATTTAGTTTTGGAACATATTCCAAAGTCTGTTTGTTTAAGTCAATATGATTCTGCTCAATAAAAGCAGTAGAGATAGCCAAATTATTGGCTAAATTTTTAAAATAAAATACTAGCGGGGATGCTATTTGTCTCTTAAAATAGAAAGAAAGATAATATTTATCTCTTGTCAAATATAAATTAAAGATTAATTTGTTTATGTCAATTACATGTATTTTTTTATTATAATTAGCTATGGTATTTAATGTCATATTAAACTTATATCTAATATTATTTTCCTCCTGTGGCAAACTGTTGCTATAAGGTAATGTAAACATAATAATTTTATTTAAATTCAAGGAGCTTAAGGTATTGAAGCACATGTCTGGTTAGTCATGTGCCGCTGTGCTCCTGTGCAGCTGTGCCGCTGTGCCGCTGTGCTCCTGTGCAGCTGTGCCGCTGTGCCGCTGTGCCTCTATGCCTCTATGCCTCTATGCCTCTATGCCTCTATGCCTCTATGCCTCTATGCCTCTATGCCTCTATGCCTCTATGCCTCTATGCCTCTATGCCTCTATGCCTCTATGCCTCTATGCCTCTATGCCTCTATGCCTCTATGCCTCTATGCCTCTATGCCTCTATGCCTCTATGCCTCTATGCCTCTATGCCTCTATGCCTCTATGCCTCTATGCCTCTATGCCTCTATGCCTCTATGCCTCTATGCCTCTATGCCTCTATGCCTCTATGCCTCTATGCCTCTATGCCTCTATGCCTCTATGCCTCTATGCCTCTATGCCTCTATGCCTCTATGCCTCTATGCCTCTATGCCTCTATGCCTCTATGCCTCTATGTCGCTGTGCCGCTGTGCCGCTGTGCCGCTGTGCCGCTGTGCCGCTGTGCCGCTGTGCCGCTGTGCCGCTGTGCCGCTGTGCCGCTGTGCCGCTGTGCCGCTGTGCCGCTGTGCCGCTGTGCCGCTGTGCCGCTGTGCCGCTGTGCCGCTGTGCCGCTGTGCTTCTGTGCCGCTGTGCCGCTGTGCCGCTGTGCTTCTGTGCTTCTGTGCCGCTGTGCCGCTGTGCCACTGTTCCCATCCCGTACAAAATATTTTTATTCGTCATTTTATAAATTTTATTTGTCACCAAATGTTTGAAATATTTATATTGTAGAAAAATATTCCAAAATGTATATAGGGATAGTACCGAAGATTAATGTGAATGAAAAAATTAAAATATTATGTTAATGAGTCATTTAACAAATTTCCTTTATCTGATTTTGGAAAAAATAGGTTGCACGAAAAAGGCAGACGACACGTCTATAAATAATACTCGTAGCATTTGGCTTCATTCATATTGAATAAACATTAATGAGCCAAATTTGAATTTTTTGTTTTTTTTTGGATATTCAATAAGTAATAGGTCGTTTATACCCGCGGGTCGATATGTCGTTGGTAATAAAAAAAATCATAATGTATTCGGGCATCGATCGCACACGGGAACGATCGACCTGATAAAACTCTATGGAACTAAAGAATATAACGAGATGACAGGGTCCTCAACCCATGAAAGTATGATACTTGTTCTGGGCAAATGGAAACAAATTATATAATTATTCACACAAATTATGTAACAATAAATTATTACGAGTAATAAAATTTTTTATATCCTTGTCTCAATTTAATAAACATTTTTCAAGATTACTTACTAATAGATTAAATATTTTGTGATTTTCTTATAAAGCGCAGTAAAATTAGCGTTTTAGTATGAAAGGAGAGATTTGTATATTATTTCTTTGTACAATACTAGTTGAAAGTTTGTGATTTTGGGTGTACACGCGCTCTTATGCAATTCGTCGGTCTCGGAAAGATCTTCTCGGAAGAGCTCTCAGTAGAGCAGCAGTTCCTCGGGTTGTATGTTCAACTCCGAACCCAGCCCCTTGGAACAGTAAAAAATAAATATTTTCATGTTTAAACATTTTTAATATTTGTATTTAGTTTTTTCTCTTCTGATTTCTGTTTATTTCTTGATGTCAATCGTCTACAGCTTTATGTGCAACAAGAAATTTGCACGTTAAGTTTCTAAATTTATAGCAGCGAAAGTTCCTGTTATATCGTAAACATATCAAAATAATTTAAGTTTACAGTTTCTGTGTTCTGTGTTTGTTTATTTGATGATAACACAGAACACAGAAAGACGTATTTTCCGTGTTCTGTGGATGATTATATTAATATTGTCTATTCAAATGATGTTTAGAAATATAATGTCTAATGTTATTATTTGCTGTCGATAAGAACTGTAATTACATCAGCCACATTAGACAATGTCTTCAAAAGAGTTTAGTAAAAGTATAATGAATGCGTAATTTACCTCATTCATTAAATTGTGTAAATTTGTCGAAATCAGTTTACAAACGTGAAATTATGATCCTGTACTCTTGTTCTTTTTTTAATTTAACTTCAAAGTTAAAGGTTCTCAATTCGACTGAAGGTTTTCTTTATGTGATCATTTCATAAATTCTGATGGGTGGATATTTTTTTAAGGAAAGTTGTTGCTTTAGGTTTCTTTTTTTATCGAAATAAATGAAAAAATGTATAGACAATCTAGTTAAATATTTATCAGTTACGAGGCATTATTAAAATAAAGATATTCTATTTATTGACAGTACTAATATATATATATATATAAATAATTTCGCATATTAAAAAAATATTGATAGTTCTATAAAACATTAGATATAATTAAGCTTAACAAAAATCTTAATAAACAGTTTCAACATAAATTAGCTTGAAGAAGATATGGTCTGCAGATTTTTTAGATACGAAACATTTAAAAACATAAAAATTAAATGTTGTCAAATCTCAAGAAGGTATGCCTATTTGAAGGTATGCCTATTTGAAGAACTATTATGAATTTAAATAGAGGAAGGTTTATTATTACAGCAATTTTAATACAAGTGTGTTCCCGTTAGCAGTTGTTCGAGCGCTACAAGACATGCGATACAGGTGAGGTGTACTCGTACGTACAATCGATCACAGTGACCGAATTTCCAAGTGTTCACTACACAAACACAAGGTTTGCACAACGCAGTGTAGTGACAGTGTGTGAGGCGTCTCTCCACTGTTTGGTCGAGTGCATGAGCGCCACCACCGCCACCAACGCCACCACCACTGTCCCCACCACCACCCACTCCCTGGAGTGAAGTGGACAGCCATCCTTCTACCCCTTCATTTATTTACTTATAATAAGGTTAAGTTTTAATCATATTATGTGTTGTGATTTGGTAATGATGATATAGCACTGCGGCGGAATTATGAAGCACTTGTTGTTATTGACTCGGTTAGAGGTTGAAAAATTATGCAGGAGACAGTATAAAGGAACAAACGTTTTCGAAATTGTTTCTTTAAGGAATATAAAAAAATGACATTTTTAATGAATTTTTTCTTTTATATTTTCATTCAAATAAGATGAAATAAATATCTTTTAAAAAACGGTTTTTTTTTCTTGGAGACCAATATAGCATTGTGCAAGAAAAATTGATCAATAAGCATTTATAAAAAAAATTATGAAAATTTCAGTGACCAACGCAAATACTTAGAGTAGCTACACCAAATAAAAATGAAAACCTTACGAGTTTGGTCACGTTTCATTTACACACTTCACGAAGGCAAAAGCTGCCCTTTAAGTAATATATTGCTCATATCCAAGACCGTGAAAGAACATTTAAACTGAAAAATAACATACACAAAACTGAATTTCCCGATTTTAAACTCAACAACTTAACTTCAAAGAAAACAGGGATAGAAGGTCGATGGAGCTGGCAAAAACCGTCATGAGTCCCTCAAATTGTTTATGCGCTGAAACTTTGTGTAAAGAATACACTCGGGTGACGTCATTTGAAAAAATAAAGTATAGATAGATAGCTTGATTTATTAATAATTGAAGTATTTATAAATAATAACTAAAATATTGTTATAATAATTACACAAGAAAATTATACATGGCCTTTTATTTAAAGAGTATTTATGTCACATTACGCAAATGCCCAGCGCTAGGCGCCGCATAATGCATGTCCTAACTTTAGGCGTCGCTTTATTTCGACGACTCTTAAGTTTAGTGAAAACGGATATTAGTTAATAGCAAGAATTTTGAAAAAATTACAATTTATTAGTTAATATTGAGGTTTATGGTAAACAAAAAAAAAACAATGAAAAAGTAACAATTACTTTGTAATAACGCTTTTACAGATGAAAGGAAGATTATTTAAAACATCGCCAAATGTAATTTTGAATGAAAGACATTAGATATATTTATATTTAATGAAATCAGGTTAACTTGTTATACAAAACATAAATATCAGTTGCTATTTTAGTCTACTATAGCAAGTAACAACAAAACTTAACAATAACAATCGAAAAAAACAAAAGCAACAAAAATTGTAAGTGATTTCAATACTGCCCAACTAAATAAGTGTACTCGTCAAGTGTTTATTTGTTATCGGTACCGATAGTTGAACACAATTACATCGCCTAAATGGCGGTCAGGCGTATTACCAATTTATATGGATTATAATATCAGACTAAATAATAGGGATGTTGAGATTTCAATACAAAATAAGTGACCGTGCGCCGCGATCTGAAAAGATTTGGGATCGATCTCCTCGGTTAATAAGGCGGGTGTCTTATTTGAAATTTCGTGCTTATTAACACTTTCAAAATTTCCTCAGACATGCATAAAACCTATGCCGTGTTATGCATGTGTAAGTAAAGTCTGAACATCAATAGAAGTATTTTAAAACAAAATTACACTCTTTTTACAAGCTTTTATCTAACTTGCCTTGTTATAAATATGTTAGTTAGTGCGCAAATCTTGTAACTTAAATTTAACCCACTTCCCAATGTCCTATGGATGTGAAATTTTGCATAGACACGTAGGTCAGGTGACAATGCAATACTATGGTGTCAGTAAGCTGATATGACGTGGAAGTCGGAAGGTGGTTATAGGAACTTAGTGATGAAATGACGCAACTGTATCGTGTTTGGGCTCGTTAGATGCGTCTGTATGAGGACTAACAACATATGGGGATAAAAGTAAAAACTAAAAAAATAAATAAAAAAATTGAAATTTGCTTAAAAAATCCACTTAGCCCCTCGCACTCTGAGATGGGATTCGAACCCACGACCTATCGCAATCCGGTCGTAAAAAATAAATGTCTATGTCCTCGTCTCTGATTTCATTAATGTTACTAGTTTTTCAAGTTAATTACTGTTAGAGAAAATTTTGATTATAAGTACTTTCAATGTTTTGGATTTATTTATTTACGTTTTGAATAATGAAAGGTTGTTTTAAAAAAATATATATATTTTATGTTCTGTAAAATTACCTTACTGAATCTACATAAGATTGTTTTATGTTTTTATTTAGTGAATCAAATCATGCATGTGAATCGGAACTATTTCTTGTTTTTCGATCGAACTGTAATTTTTATGAGAATTCAATTAATATGAATTTAATCTGATCTAAGCATGGGGCCAGAAGATAGTCAAGGAATTTTCGAAACAAAACGAAGCAACCCCGTTGAGTTTATTATTTTGTTTAGCTATAATAAATGCAAAAAATCACGTTTGTTGTATGGGCGCCATCTTTGAATTTACCTATTTTATTCTGTCTTAGAAATAATATAAAATTAGACGGCGCCATAACATGCTTTCATGTAGTTGTAAAATAAAAGCTATTTAATTTATATATAACGTAAACAATAATATCTTTATGATCTAAATAGTAGAAAGATATTAAATTAAGTGTGAATGCTCATAAATTTGTAAAATTCCTTTTGTAAAGGTTCGGTTTCACACGTATAACGAATTTGTTTGTATGAAAGTCCTGAACTCATTTTGTAAAATGAATAAATGAGTTTTGTTGGATATATTTTTAATTTATTACTTATTATTCAAAGTGCATTTTTAGGGTTTCGTAGTAAAAAGTAACCCTTATAGTTTCGCCATGTTCGTATGTCCGTCCGTCCAACTGTGGTTTAGCTGAAAACTATCGGTACTAGAAAGTTGTAATTTGGCATGAGTATACGACAAAGTGGTAAAATAAAATTACGAAAAAACACATGTTTTAGTGTAC